ACCCTGACTGATTGTGAGGTTTAATGTTTTAACACAATTTTTATGTCTTAAGTCAGGTTTCTTGGCTAATTGGGAAGATGATGCTGTGTAGGCTGTTTTATGGTTATAGACCAGGAAGCTGGTTATGCTGTGACCCTGACAAAATTGGTAATGGAAATACCGAATCCCCAAGATTCATGGTCAAAACTGAACCTGTAGCTATGTCTAGAAGAGAAACAGGACAGTAAGTACCTGAAAGTTGGTCCAAATTTATTGTCCATGATTAAAGTTGTTGACTGCAGCACCCCAGGTGATGCCACCCTCCTGGATGGGGTCACTGCCAAACAGATCACAGACCATATGAAGCTCCTGCTAAGGAAGCAAGAAATAGTTCGACTAACAAAAAGTTTACGATTGAACTCGCATGTATTGCAGAATTGGAGAATAGAAGTAGAATGAAACAGAATGACGAAAATTGGTTCCTATGTCCTCCAGCAGACTAAGCCTATAGTAGCATAACTAGAGAGATAGCTCAGGTTAACTTTAACATTAAGCTTCATTGAAAGGGAAAGTTTTAAAGTAAAGGGTGTGTACCTCATGAACTAAAACTTGTAGTTGGATCCACATGAGAGGAACTTAAGAATAAGCTGCAGATTGGGAAATGGCTCAGGAACATGTGAAACAATCAGATGTCTGTCTGGAATCGATAAGAGCATCGTTAAGCGAGCTGCCAAACGGTGCCATGGAATTGGAACACACAGAACCGGTTCTGAACAGGAACTGGTTTTCGATTCCCATCCCTAGTTGTTGTCCTGATTAAAAAAAGAGGCAGAGTTTAGAGCTCGAATGAATCCCCCATCTCCTGCATACCTAGCTTCCTGTAGCAGACCACCAGCGATTATGTTGAATTTCCCAGGTTACCCTCAGCTTCCCCACAAGCGAAGGCTGTACTCATGAGGCTCTTTCCTTGCTTCAATAGTAAAAAGCTATATGCCTGCAATCAAAGCAACTGGCTGTCTTTATTATGATTATGATGTTGTTCTTTTATTTATTTTTTTATTGTGGCAAGTTTAGGCTTTGGATATATGGCTTTTACCAGTTCACAGAGGAAAAAATGTGCTGATATTTTTAGCAAAAAGGTAAAGAATGTTTCACGTTTCATCTTTTTCATTTCATCCAGTTTTAGCTAGATTTAGGAAAAACATAACCTGTAAGTGCAGAGAGTTTGCTTATCAACAACAGGTGAAAAGTGGTTTGCTTGAATATTTGGCTTTCAAGTTGTCGGGTGAAGTAAAACTTCTTGATCCTAATGAGGCACTTAGACTGTGTGTGACACTTCAGGTGCATGAAAGTGGAACGCAGCACTGCTAGGACACCTCTAGTGCAGTGACAGTGCCCAGACAGCGTTTGCCATCATAATAAGCCCATTAAAGCACTCCACAGGGTTTATTACTGAGCACTCTTATCCGGAGGCTCTCTGCCATGCTGACTTGTGTACTGGGGGCTCAACGACTCTAATTACTTCTGATCTCATATTTGTTTCTTGTTTGATTTGTATGAAAGGCTAAAAGAGAGACCTAGTATAATCAGGTGTAACAGGAGGTATTTTATCAGACTGCTATGTTTTTGTTTCCAAATATTTTTCCTCAATATTTAAAATTTGTAAGGCTATAATACCTTACATTCCATTGATTTTAATACCTTTTTTGTTTTATTTCTTACACTTTCTCCATACTGTAACAACCACAGAGCTAATTTTATCTTAGCATATAAAATTGATATTTTGTTATTGTAAAATTTAAGTAATTCTCTAAATGCTTTATGAATAAAATCTGGGCAAGTGCTGTAAATGTATATATATATGTATGAAGTTTAAGTTTTATTAATACTTTTGAAATGCATTCCAGTCAGAATCTGATCTAGTTTGACCTTCTGTTGCTTCTTCTGTTCAGACAGCGTAGAAGATGAGCTGGAGCTCTCTGCAGTCCGTCATCGCCCTGAGGGCCTGGAGCAGCTCGAGGCACAGACACGGTTCTCTAGGAAGGAGCTACAAATCCTCTACCGTGGCTTCAAGAACGTAAGAGACACACCTACTGTGGAGCTAGCTTATATATTATGTATAATGTCTTTAGTGGCTCTTCTACCATTCATCTCTTTCATAGTATCTAAAAGTTGCCTGGCTTGATTTTTTTGTTGTTATTGATTATTCTTTCACTAGTTCCACTGCAGAGATTTATGGAAGGGGTTTCTCCTTCAGTTTCTTTTGCTGTATTCTTTGTATTTTCTATCCAATGTGATGGAAAAAATCCCTCTTTCCTTACCAGAGTATTTTCAAAAATTCTGCCTCTTTGTTCACGGTACTCACTGATAGATAAGTAGTGTTAAATACCTGTATTTATTAGCTATTAGCTAGATCAGTGATTCAGGATCACTGCAGTCTCTAGAATACTGAGATGTGTTTGAATGATTTTTGATGATTTATAGGTCTGGATGAGTTTGGATGTGATGTTTTTCCCTATCTTATTACTTTTAGTTTTGCATTCATTTACGCTTGAATAACTTAAGAACTGATTTCTCTTGCCACAACATGCTTATTTGTTCAGTTTCTGGCAGAAAAACCTGCAGATGTGTACACCATTATTAAAGAATGTTTACAAAGGACATTTTTTTAATATTTTGTGGGCCTCAAGACCCACTTAGATCCATGTACAGTTGATTTGAAGATTTGGTGATGTTAACACAGAGAATGGCAGCCTACTGAATAGTGCGTCCATCTAAAGCACAGTATATTCACTCTGTTTAGGTGGGGCTTCTTTTGCGTTACTTACTACATTAGGCCGGCGTGGCATGGAGATGTTCTGTTTGTGGTTTCTCTGAGATGATTTGGAGGACACTGTTGCTTTAATGCTATCCTTCTGTTCTGCATTGCTGACAATACTCTATAGATTCTTCATGGGGCTTAGATAAGGTCGGCTCCAGTGGAGCTGCGGGGTGATACAATGGTCAATTAACCAGGTGTCATTTATGGTTGTGTAGAAATGATATAGGGATTTCCATAAAGCTGGTCAGCATGGAAGCATAATAAGGAAGATTAAGTATCCTGATGGATCAGATGGATCCACTGACTTTGGACTTGCTAAAATATAGTGGATCGCCACTTATAGATGATGTGGCCCTCGTGGAAACTTTACATGGACCTCAAGCGAGCTGGATCCTGTGTCTCTTCACTCTTCCTCCGGACTCTAAGACTTTGATTACTTTCTTAAGTGTAAAAACTTACCGATAGCAGAAAAGATGTGGGACTGGCCCACAGTCCTTTTTTCTCTTTAGCTCAGGGATGAATGTTATGTTTCAGTTCAGCAGTTTTCGGACAGAGTGAATACGACTTTTGTTGGTTGTATCCTAGATATGCTGCAGCGAAGGCCGAAAAAAATCAATCATCCAGCATTTGTATAATGTAATTATCTATTAAACTCAGTTTAGTGTCTGGATTTATTTATTTTGAGACGTCAAACTAAAACGACAATAAAAGACAGGTTAGAGATGTTTTAATTTGAGTTTTTTTTCTCTTTTCCAAAGTTGGACTAATATTTTTGAGACTATAAAGTAACGGCACACTAGGCTTCAAAGAAGAAAAAAGAATAGGTTTTCCCAGACTAAGAGGAGATTAGATCTTGAAATGGATGTGCCATTTTCTCGGTCCACTCTTAAACCTCAATCACAAGCTGAGCAGAATACCCCAATGGCGATGACTAAGCCTTTTTTCATCAAATACATTTTCTTTTGTTCACTTTCTTGTATTTGAACATGATAGAGAAAATAAGCTATCTACTGATGCTCTCCTTGTTAGTATTTCTTTTATATTTATCACTGTTGCATAATTACATTTTGTCAATAAAGTCTAATTTTTTTAAATAAATAAGATGGGACTCTCACTACTGCTGGTAATTATAATTTTTTTAAAATCACGTTCTTTTTGAATTGCCGGAGACAAATAACACTTCTTTGTCTTGTTCCAGCGTCATTGCTGGAGTGAAGGAGAGCTTTTAAGGGCAGCAGACTAATAGAAGCTGGCTGGCTTCCCATGATGAGAAGTTTGGCCCCTTTGTCCTTGTTGTCCAGAGTTTCGAAGCAAATCGAATGCCTCAGATGCAGGCGGGAGACGGAGGTGGTTTATTTTGACAGGTGACTTTATTAAGCAGCCGCTTGGAGCACAGGTGGTTCAAACATAATGAAACAGAAACAAAACAAGTTGTCTGAATCAGGTAATTTTCTAAATGAATCTCTCTCACTGAAAGAAACAAGATAGATATAATATTGTCCACACATTTGAAGCTCCAAAATATGTAGTCTGAGGTCACCAGTTCAATTGTTAGATGATGAACACTTTATGTGTATTGTATTATTCCCAATGACTCGATATCACTCCCTGTAGCATCTCTTTGCTATCCATCTTCAGTATAAAACTAATCCTTGGGGCCAGTTGCACATGTCTAATAACAGTGTCAGTAAGATATGAGCTAAGGTAATTAAGTCAAATATATACTGTTGTGTTCCTTCTTCTGGGGCGACTTTAAAGCATACAATTAAACATTTATAAATATTTAAAACAAGGTCATATTTTCTTGCTGTGCTGATCTGTCCTGATGTAGCTATTACTGTAAACCTCAAATTGAATTGCAGGACCACTAGATCATAAATGGATCTCCAGCAGGCAGCACTCTGCGTTGATAAATGGTCTACCCCACCAGTAGGCCACCAACAACACTGTGGTAATAAATATGGCTGCTGAAAATTTAAAACTGATGATTCATGTTGTCAGTGTTGGTCAGTAAAGCATTATTGACTTTCAGTTTACCAAAAATGTTGGTCGCTAAGAGCCAACGATTTCAGAGGAAGTAGCTGACCCTGTCCTGTTTCAACGGCACACATTAGTATGGTAATGGTGCTGACAGATGTAATTTAAGGTGCAGATTAAAGTGAGGTTAAACTACATGGTCAAACATCCCTTCATTTTATGAATATTCATTTATGTGACATTTGACTTTTAGTAAAGTAAGTCTTAAACTGCTTCAAACATAAGGTGTAAAATACAATTTCCTGTCATTTTTTAGTCATTAAAATATCTCTTGAAATAACATATTCAATAAAGGGTCTAAACGTAAGGTAAACTTTTAGCCACTAATTTTTTCTAAGATGCAAGTATGATAACAATACGTATAAAGTTATTCATTCGTAATATTATCAAGTTTTAACCTTATGCCTGGTTATTCCTGCTCCAGATAATTTTCTTCTTTTTATAATGCATTGTCTTTTTTTATGGTGGTTTAAAATAAAAATAAACTAAGCTAAATTAAAGCAGTCTAAATGCTAAAACTTCTGTAATTATGCAAGTTTAAAATGGGAGATTTCAAAAAGATTAAAAACCCCTTCTTCACCATGACTTGCAGAGCTTCATCTTGCTTTTTCTTCTTTGTCTGCAATCTCATACCTATAACAAGTGAACTCCTGATCTCATATGGCATTCCCTGAAGCATTCCCAAGTCACTCTGAAGACCGCCATGCTCTCAAAGGGGACTGCTTTTTCTCTTCAAAGTCTTCTCCTAGTTGCTCATCATGGAAGGCTCATACAACCTGCAGTCCAAGACAGAACCTTTCTTCATTCGATATCCATTCCACCACCAATTTCAGCCCTGGGAGGATGCATCCCTGTTCTCATTCATCTGCTTATGCATATTAACAAAGTAAATTTCAGTACCAATGTTTCCCAATCACGTCTGAGCACCAAAGACTTCAAAATAAATCAATAAAACTCTTCTAACTGCCCCTTTAATAATGTCCATTACTTATAGAAAGGAAGATAAATCTTTTATTTTCAGATAGGGCCAGGTAGCTAATATGATGATCAAAAACAAACATCTAAGCAGAAAGAGAATATGTCTCTAAGGTTCTTTATAGTAGAATGAACCCTTGTAAATAAATAACCTGCTATAACTTTTGTCCATTATTGTCCAGCAAACATCTTTTAGGTTTTATAAAATCATTTTTCAGACCCAAAGAAAATATTCAATCTTACTTGGTTTCATGTTTACCTGACTTCTCTCTCGTCTAAAAATTCCCCTTTTTAAAAGTGGGTTTGGTGTGAATTAATGACAAAGGAGAATCTCAGGGGGAATTATGCAGCAAACCTTTCATCCTCGATGGTTCTAAAGACGTTTGTTTAAAGCAGAACTATTTGTTTTCTTGATTCTCTTGTGTTTGTTTTTTTTTTTTGCCAAAACATAGCGCCATAGTTGGTCTTTAACAGTAAGAATTCTCATATTGTGTTGTTTTAGATCATATTTCCTATTATTTCTACATAAACTATGCTTTTTAGTTGGTAACTCTCTAATGAGTTGTCATATATTTTAGTTATGCATGAAGCAGTTGCTGAACTGGAAAGCTCTTTCAGTGACAGACTGCTGCACCCTAAATGCACCAGGGAGCGTTTTCATAGATCCTTCCTTTCAGCGGCTGGAAGACTTTATAACCATCACTGTTCCCAACAACCTCAATAAGTTGTTACTGTACATTGATGCTTATTTTTGCACAGCTTCTCTCTTTGTCAGTTAAATAACATGTTGCTATCATTTTTTTTGCACATCTTTCGTGTTGCTGCTATTTTTCATATATCCATTACTTTAAAAAATGTCCACAGCTGTTATTGATTTTTTTTATTCTCCAGATACAGAGTATTAATATTGTAAAAACACGTTGTGTAACCACTTCTACTCTAACAATTTCTCCATTTTCTTTTATATCTAGTTCTATGCTATTCCATTCCATTCTATAGATGTTTAACTTTGAAGCAGTCGCATCAGCCTGTGAGTTTTTAGAGTTACCTTTGATGTGTGATGTTCTACACCTTTTTTTGGAGATCTTAGAAGTTTTTTTCTTCAGACTTCAGCTAGATTACACTTATTTTGTAGTACCTTTAATGTTCAACATAAATACTTTCCTCACTTCAACTCACACTAAGAAATCTCTACTGTACTGTGTGACTTCTTTTATTGTAAGTCACTGTGAAATAGGAACTTAATTTTTTGGTCAGGAGGTATGTTTGCTTGTTCTTTTGACGCTTTTTAGATTCAGTTTATACACAGATGTCCCTCCGTCTGCTGGAAACCGCTCTTATCCTCTTCCAAACTTTTGGATACTTACAGATGCTCTATTTTGGTCTCAGTCATTCACAAATCAGTGTTTTCCTGGCAGCATTCTGGCTTATGGCTTATAATTCTGATCTTTTGCAAACTGCAGTCTGACAGCAGAGCAGCAGCTTTTTCTCCTCTTAGCCATAACAGTGGCTCCAGTGCTGTTCAGTATTCTTTAATTGTGAATGTGAAACACGATTACCTCCTAATCCTTTTACTTTGGTGAGAATAGATTACTATTTTCCTCCTTCTACTGATCCTTACATTCAAATGGTAGAGTTCCTACAATTTTTTTTGTTTTTGTTTACATTGTCTTCATGTATCTCTGGTCGATCTTCGCTTTACTAATATTGTGAACCCTGTGTTTATTTACCAAAACTGTGTTGATTAAATGTTCTCTTTTTAACTTTACATTCAGATTCGATGCTAATCTGAAGCCTTAATATTATAATAAAAATTATTAAATAAAAAAAGTAAGTCAATATTTTATTTTAATTTTGGAACTATTTCGACTTGTTCCAATTCCAAAATTGATGAACGAGAATCTGTCAAGGGCCCGATCTCGACTTGACAACACACTTTTTTCAAAAAATAATTTGGCAGATGTAAGTGGTGGTGTTCTCACATGAGTGTATTGTCTTGGTTTTGATAGTAATTTGGAGAAAAATTATGAGATATGATGGAGAATAGTTAGGCCTGCCTTTATTCTGGAGGATTGAATATTAACCATCTTCTGAGAAGCAGGAAAGCAAACAAAGATGACAGGGAGAGGACTTACAGAATGTGGTGTATATAAAGTATACAGTAGGTCAGTTAGCCTTTGGCCAAATATGAGATGAGAGCTAAACCCTACAGGATACCACTCCTTTTTTCTGCTTATGTTTTTCCAATGGATAATGTGAAGAATTATTTATAGCTGCAACGAAACACACAAGTCAGACACTACTGTGATTTTCCTTTAAATAAAATAATAGTTATATATAAGAATATACAGAATACATTGCATTTGTTTACCTTACAGCTTATATCTCCTTATTTTAAGTTTTTCTATCAGCAATCTGTGCTCTTTCTGATTTCCAGCTAACTTCTCCATCTTGGTTATTTCTTCTTTCCCTGCAACCCTGAAAAAACATGGCTTAGGCTCCATAAGATCCCAGATGTACCCGGAGCAGTGATCTTGTTCTTTCCATTTCAGTTTCCTATTTCATAAATGTTCAGATTTGCAAGAGAGCAAACCTGAGCCTGCAAAAAGTAACTTCCTACACAAGCACTGTGCTGAGCAAGGTCATCAGGAACATCTTTGACTCTTTAAAACGGCAGTAAAAATGTCCTTCTTGAAGGTGTTACATAAATGTCTTTTCAGTGAATGCCACCAGCAGGTGGGTGACTTTAAAAGGCTGTAGATAAGATCACTGCTGAGGGTTTGCTGCTGAATGCCACCAGGCTGAGGTTGGGATGGTCGACACAAAGGGTCACAGTAATGAGAAAGGTTCCAAAAAAAAAAAGCCCTTTCTACTGTCTATATTGGTACTTTAAGAAAAAATCAAACCTGTAATGGATGGAAAATTACCTGTTTTTTTTATTTATATTTTAGGAATGTCCAAGTGGAGTCGTCAATGAAGATACCTTTAAAGACATCTACGCACAGTTTTTTCCACAAGGAGGTATGGAGTGTGTAGCAACTGCTTCAGATATCCTGTGTAACCTTGTTTAATAACAAGTCTATTCGTCTCATCAAGTAAAACCCACTTGAATCTAACCTTCCATCAAAGCAAATGCTTTGAAATTTCGGTTGTTTTTGTTGTTTATTACATGTGCAGCCTTCGGTTTTTCACTGAAGGCTTTTATCATTAAGCAAATATACTCAACTCAAGGAAATATGAAGAAAACATTAGGAGGCCTTGATTTGTCCCCTCAGAGAAGAAAGGCAGAGCGGTAAACAGATAAGCCTCTCCACACAGGAAACAATGAGAAAACTCTCTGCACTGAGTCTGTTTTTCGTTTCTCTCATCAAAGACTTCTTTTCTTTGAAGCTGAACAGAAAACTACAAAATAAAGTAATATAAAAAAAAAAAACTCTGAACCGTTTTCTTTCTTGTTATAGGTTTACTTTTTGATATTAGATGGGCTGAACTGAAGAGAAATCATTTTGAATTTCATTTCTTTTAGATGCTTCGACGTACGCACATTTCCTGTTCAACGCGTTTGACACGGATCATAACGGCTCTGTGAGCTTCGAGGTGAGCCTGCTGTTATTTATTTTATGTCAGAAAACCTGTTACAGTCTAGTAAAGATTACGAATAGATTCAAATATACTTTAAAGTTCACATTGAACCAACACTTCTGGAAAAATATGTAAAAATATCCCAAAAAAATATATTTTTCTATAGAAATTTAGTCGCATAATATCAACCACAGCCGCCATACTTGCTGTCACCCCTGCTGCTGTTTTTTTTCTACCTCTCCTATACAAATATAATCCCACTCAGTCTTCTGTTGAGACTTTTACTTTGCACGACTCTCCTCAGGGACAATCCTTGCAGTATTGGTGCCCTGGGCTGACCTCTATATATATATATTGAGAACTGTAGGAAAAAATAAGATGTCACTATGACTGTATTCAAAATTCACTTTTACTTTCACATGTAAAAGGTCTCTATAGGTGTTATGGTTTCTTCTATGTGACCAACATCTAAAAACATGAACAATCCAAAGTGATCATATAAGTGGCCATTAAAGGAAAGAGGGTAAGTAATGATAAAGCAGAAACATAAAAGAAGTAGAAGGTTAAAATACTGATATTAAAGGCATGCAAGGAACAATGAAGACTGGGTGACCTGTATGCCCCATTTATGTAACAGCTGGTTTGGATATTTTTATTTGGCATTTCTTAAAACTTTAAAAGTTGTGATGTAATATATTTTAAATGTCCAGACAAGTATGCTACAGGTTCAGGTGTTTTCAACTTTCCTGAACCTTCAGAGGCACATAGAGGCAGTTATAAAGTGGAGCTTTTATCACCTGAAGAACATTTCTAGGATTAAAGGACTAATGTTCAAACAGGATTTATAAAAACTCATTAATGCATTTATCCTTAGTAGAATTGATTAATGCAACAGTTTCTTCATAGGTTTGCCTAAAAAATCCATCAGATAGCTGCAGCTAATCCAAAATGCTGCTGCCTGTGTTCTCACTAGAACTAAGAAAGTAGAGCACATCAGCACAGTTCTGAAGTCCTTACACTGGCTTCCTGTAGCTCAGAGAATAGACTTTAAAATCCTTTTGTTAGTCAATAAATCACTAAATAGATCAGCTCCTCAATACATAACAGATTTATTGTCAGTGATCAACCTCCCAGACCACTCAGGTCTTCTAGTTCCAGCCTACTCTGTACACCCAGAACTAGAACCAAACATCGAGAAGCAGCATTAAGTTCCTTTGATCCAATTATCTGTAATCAACTTCTAGAAGGTTGTAAAAGTGTTGAAAGCCTGAGTTCTTTTAAGCGAAAGTTAAAATCCTCTTTGTTAATGATTGCCTTTGACTGTTAATGTTTAACTATTAACTAAGGTATTAGAAGTATAAGGTTTTGGTCCAACTGTTTTATTTGTTTTACTACGTGATTTTATTGGGGTTTTTTTTTTCGATTTTTTCTATTTTATTGTTTAATTCTTGTAAAAACCTTTGAATTGCCCTTTTACTGAGTTTTGCTATAAAATAAACTTACCTTGCCTATATATATTGTTATAAGACATGTAGCTATAGCCTGACTACATACTTGAGTTGTATGTTCTCCTGTGTTTCCTGTTTTTAAGTGCCTAGGAGAAATGGACCCGGTGCTAATATTATTACCCCAGGGAAGCTAAAGATCTTTCATTTTTTACATTTTGGATAGCTTTTTTTAATCATTACATATATCTTTTTTTAAATTTCTAAGTTGTATAGCCTTTTACACATGTTTACCTGGGTAATCAGCCAGTTTTTGCAGCAGATATTTGGGTTATGAGCTGCTAAAGGTAGAGAATACAAAAAGATTGCATAAGCCTAAAGAGTTTCAAAGTTTGATCCATCAAGTGACTATAAAGTCCTTCACAATAACTTCTGAAGAATCAAGTCAAACATGTTTCCTCAATCATTTTTATTCCACCCAACCAAGCAGACTTGTAATGCTGGCTGTTTTTTATTAATATTTATGAGGGACAGATATTTGCTTATTAGGACAGAGAAGCTGTCATCACGTCCAACTAAAGCCCCCCTCCTGATTTATTCGCGTCCCGTTCTGCAGAAAAACAGCGGTTCCCTGTAGGGTCCCACACAGACTACAAGCTTTCTGATCATTTGAATAATGAGGTATTTTGATTTATAGAGGTTTCACTTTTGCTGTTTCATCCTTCATCTCCAATTAATAACCAACATGGTTTCTGTATGCTAGCAGAAATATGGAGGCTGGTTTTGTTTACCTCTGGAGATTTCAAGTCTGAGAAGTGATGATTATCATTATTTTTTTTCCTGACGTGTGAGAACTTCTTGTTCTGTTACAGGATTTTGTTATGGGCCTTTCAATCCTGCTGCGAGGCACAGTCCAGGAAAAGCTCATTTGGGCTTTCAACCTTTATGACATCAATAAAGATGGATACATCACTAAAGAGGTATGCAATATCTTAACATTAATAACCCATGCCTCTGTCATTGACTTTTTAAGATTCATGTCTCCCATTCTATGCTTCAGTCAGTATAACAACATATAGGGAAACAAAGATTTAAAATAAGTTATGGAATATGGTCAGCATTTCACAGGTTTTATTTGCCTCAGTAGCAAATATTTTGGACACCATTTGTTATACCTGTCAGGCTCAGAACAAGAGGACCCAGTTTTCGAGGCAGAGAGACAGTTAGGTTTCACAAAGTGTTTAATCAAGACAGAACTGTGGAGACTGGCGTTTGCATCTAAGGCAGGAACCTCTGCCTTAGACTGGCACAGGTTAGTGACCACATCTATCTGGCTTAGGATGATAATGAACGTGTGAGTCACTGACCTGGTCTTAAAGTTCAGTCAGTGTCCAATGGATGAGGTTAGTCAAAGCCGATCGCCCATAAGACGTATTGGGCGCCACGCAGGAAGACACAGATGCTGAAATCCCGGACATTTGGGAACAGGCAGGGGATCAGTACTGAGCAGACGAAGGAAGGCAGGATAATTCAGAGGGCAAAAACAAGGCCAATGTTGACATACTCAGAAGTCAGAGCAAGGAGATCAGAGATCCAAAGAGGTGCTAAAGGAAAATCCAGGACGGTGTCAGGAAACAGTTCCAGGTTCTGTACGCAGACAGAATCCAGCAGGAGTCCGATGACGGGTCGGGCAAACAGATTAGAACAGGGACAGGCAGGCTCAGAGGTCCAGAGGCAGAACTGGTCCGGATCAGGCAATCAGAAACACAATCAGGTACGCTAGAGAACTCTCACCAAAAGCTTGAATAATCTGACACTGATGACTGGAAGAAGACAGGTTAAATAGAGGCTGAAGTAAGTGCATCAGATGAGCTGTAATGAGAACTGGGCGGAGCAAAGCAGGTGAATGAAAAGACTAATCGGGCCAGTCATCATGGCCATGATCATGACAGTACCAGTAGACATGCTAATGCTCATTGTATAGCTCCAATAAGCTTTTAGAGTAAAGGAAAATGTTTTCTTCTCAAAGTCTGAGTCTTCCCAGAAACCTTTTAAAACAGCAAACATTTTGTTTCTAATAGCAAATGGTTTTTAAGGCTGTTTTCAGGAACTGACTGTATATTGCAATTAAGTTGTATAGCGCCGTGGAAAATAATTTCCTCCCAATGTGCCTCTAAATCCCTTGGAACCAGAAACTGGCCCATGTTCGTTTTTTTTTCGAGAAACTTTGTTTTGTTGACTTGTTTGGATTTTATATGATGCCATCTTCATATTCCTGCTGTGCAAGTCTTCAGTAGAGGCTTATCATTTGGCAAATACTTGCTCTAAACTGAACTTTATTGATGCAAGTTTGTTGGAATAACATAAATCAAAGTGATTTGCAAAAAAAAAAAAAATAATTAACTTGTAAGGAATAATTAACTCTACCAGGCAACACTCTAAGGGGTACTATTAGTTCTGAAGTTTTAGGACCAAAGTATCTGGCAGATGATTGCTTTATTCTGGCACTAGATGAAAGCTCACTTTTAGGGACCATAATTCACACTTTAGGGATTAAATAAGTTCCTGTTGATTCACTGTTTGTTGATAGATTTCAATCTTATGTAATGTTTCTAATCTTTGAACTGTGTACGAATTGTCCAAATTACAACTAATTTTAATGAAAACAGTTTAATTTAGTTGTAAAGGATGGGATTTTAAAGCATATGGCTTTTATCGCCTCAAAAAATGTATATATGTCAAAAGCAGTAAAAACAAATTTTTAAAAAAGCAAGTCTTCAGCACCAAGTTGATAATTTATGTGGTGACTGGTCCTGCGAGGAAACAGTAAAAAGCTGTCTGACGTGTTACACCCTTAAAAAATGCGGCCCTAATTAAAATAATTTCCTCAATTTGTGACAAGTGCTTGAATTATTTTGCATACCTTTATTTATTTTTCAACTTATAAACTTAATAAATTGAGTGGGATCAACTTGATTCAATTACATGTTACCAATCGAAGCAATTAATCTAATTTGGAGCAGCATTTTCTTTTTAGAGCTTAGCAGACCAAACAAAAAGGAGCGCTGCTCAGGAATTTGAAAACTGCATTTGTAATTCTCCAGAGTTTAATGATTGAATAATACTGTAGCTTTCTAACAAAATTATATCAATTAGCCCTTAAAAAGTCATGGGCTCAAGGACAATGTGTTGCACAATAATACTGATTATGACTCATTTATTCAGCTCAGACACTGAGGGAAAAAATTCTCCGCTGTAGCAAATTCTTGTGGCTAAAGTTGTATGGAAAGCAGTTTAACAGCAGATGTTGTATACTGACAGAGGACACACACTGTCACTGGGGCCAGCATATTGCCATATATTCACTAAAGTTCTTCCTGTTAGAAAGATATTCTTGTCATTATCCGGTTCGAACTAGAAGCATGATCCGTACCATCAGCTCATTCGTCATGAATAATGTAATTATGGTGCTAAAATAAATTATTTCTATCCTTAATTCAACCCATTTGATGCTTTTTACATTTTTTCTGTTAAACTGCTTATCTGACGTCATCATCGGACATGCTCAGAGTAGTCCGGCAAAATATGATTAAACCATGTTTATCTGCATATTAGTGGCTTCTTTCTTTAGCTTACACCTTATATACTATAATGTTTACAGCAAAAGAAATCATAAATCTTAAAAAGACTAGATTTATGTTTAAATCCAAAGCCCATAAATAGGATCCCATTTCTGGCACAGATCGGGCACAGAAGTGCGATAAAAAAGAAAGGATTTTAGGCATTTATTTTCTCGGGAAATATGTTAATAACCTTTAACACATTATAGTTTAGAACATTTAGAAATTTTTGGGAGTGAAATATGTAATTTAGGTCTTTTTTACAAAATAAATTAGAGGGCGACCCTGATGTATGTCTTGTTGCACATGCACAAATGAGCTGATGGTAAGGATCGTTCTTCCACTACAGATTGGGTAGTGACAACTGTGTTGTAAAGAAAACTATCCATATTATTTCAACAGCAACTGTCAGTCACAGTCTGAGACTTTTAACTTTATCTCATTACTCCATGTATAGTAGTGCATTTTCTGTTTTTTGATGAGTTTGTATTAAATGCTTTCTTTGTGTCAGAAAAACACAGGAATGCTGCTTGTTGTTGCACTAAAATCCAATGAAACTTCATCCAAATTGAATGGCTGAAAAGTTGATTCTCAATATTATGTCCTAACTTTAATGAAATATTGTTGTTTTTAACATATAACTTTGGGGGTTTTCTGTCTGCTTGTGCATTTCGCAGGAAATGCTGGACATCATGAAGGCCATCTATGACATGATGGGTAAATGTACTTACCCCGTCCTTAAAGAAGAGACGCCTCGTCAGCACGTAGAAGTATTCTTTCAAGCAAGTCTCTGTTTTTTTCTATATTTATAGTTAAATATCCCCCTTGCTTTGTTTCCTATGCTTATATGTTCTATTCTCTCCTCCTGACAGAAGATGGATAAAAATAAAGATGGTGTGGTAACCATAGACGAGTTCATTGACTGTTGCCAAAATGTAAGCCGGATTCCCCGCTCTACTTTTCACTATTGTTGTCTTTAACTCACCATTATAAATCCTATTGTCTCTCTCTCTTTTTTTTTTTTTTTTTTTTTATAATCCTCAGGATGAAAACATCATGCGATCGATGCATCTCTTTGAAAATGTTCTCTAACTTTTGGCTGCTTAGCCAACCATTGGAGAGAAGCTTCATCTTTAGCATGGCCCAGTTACTGATTTGGACTCATACTGTCTACAGTGTGCTATGCAGACTTTTGACCATAGATAGATTGTTCATTATCACTCTTGGGCCACAATTAGAAATAGCAGCATGTTGGGAACGCTCTGGAAGTTATTTTCTTTTATTACTATATTAAAATAGGATTAATTAAAATGAATGATTGGATAGGAGGTTAATTCAAATAAAACACAAAATCAGCCTATTAAGCCTTGTTTTATTTACTGCCAAATGACGTCACTGTGACTCACAGCTTTAGAAAAATTGAACAATTTGAAGTTCCAGAGTGTTCTTACCAGACTTAGAAAAGTGTGGTGTGTGATTTTACTCTTTATTTAGAGAGAAAAGACACATATGTTGTACTATTTTGAATTGTACATACTAAAGATTGAACAATGAGAAATTAGTTTTCGATTTTGCTCATGTTTACCTGCCAACTACACAAAACAAGGATTGTATTGATGTCAGAATTGGACCATATCTTAAGCACATGAGTACAGATGAGGACAAATTTGTTGGCACCTCTGGTAAAGATCTGTCCTAAGCCTTGAAATTGTTTATTTCTTTAGCATAATTTCACATTAAAATATGTGAAATGTAATCATGTCTATTCCAAGCATGCTCACACTCTTTATATCCTGTTTTTATGCAGGTTCTACCATTTCATTATCAAAATGCCTGGTTCGTTGGTTTAGAACATAACAGCCATAAAAATGATGCTGTTTAATGCTTTATACTTTTAAAACTATTAACATTTTTTAAAAGAATTTAAATAAATGTTGATAAATGAGTTTTTAATTTATTCTTACATTAGGCTATTTCAATATTACATTTTATATCAGTGAGTAGCTTACTGCTGCACCTGAATCTGTAGTAAACATGAATTTTTGTCTCAGTTTGTAAAAACATTCCTTTATATTTCCTGGTTGAGCAGCTACAACCATAACGGAACAGTATGTTTGACAGAAAACAACAAACCTTACGTCTTTTTCCCTCCGTAACAAGCAGTGGTTTCCTACTGAGCACACATGGCCACCAACTCCCAATTGGCTGTACCTTCAGAAATTGTTAGAAAACTTGTTCAGTGCACAACAGACAAATACATCAGCGATATTTTAAAGTGATACTTTTGTCCTCTCTTTCTAATGCTTTTCGGGGAAAAGCCTATTTAGGCCATAACAAAAAATACCAACGTTTCCTTCTGCTACAGCTTCTAACAACACATCATAAATCTTAAACCTCACATCCTTTTATTTTAAATTATGCAGTGGACTCCAACATGGTTCAGAGAGACTGCAGAGGAGACTTATGCTACGTTCACACTGGACGCGCTTTGGTTGGCACCTCCTGCTTCATTTTTGATGCTTGTACACATGAAGGTCAGACCCACGTCTAGAGCATTTGTGATGCACCTGAAGTGTGTCCAGGAAATTGTGCACAGATGTATCTGATGCTTCTGCTGCTCCTGTGTTCAGTGGCAGAGGGCGGCTATGCTATATTTGCTGTGATAAGCTGGTAAAAAGTGGTTTTAATATATTCTTATGCAAGAAAGTCCACCTGAAAACATTGTTTGTGCAGTCGGTTTATCAAGCTTAAGATCCTGCCTCAAATATTATTTTTGCTCAGATCCCCACATACTGGCGTTGTGCTGTCACTAGGATTCCCCAGCAGTAGTTCGAAGTGACTGGAAGTAGATGTTAGTGTTTTTAAGGTATGTGGCACAAACTGCAAGTACCAGAATAATAAAAGCAGATATATTTTGTCAGCAGATTTCAACATTTTAAATTAATTTAAGCATTAATAAACAGTTTCAGGGGAGCGATCATAGCGATCTGCTTCAGCAGTGCTGTGTCCGTCTTCCTGACAGCTCCCTGAAGCGCTGCTTTACATGCGATCCTCCTGCTGCTCAAAAGGCGCTGCAGGACCCTTTAAAGCGCCTTGATGTGCATCAACCATACCAGCTACTTCTGCTGCTTCAATTGTGTTAGGTGTGAACTTAGCATAAGGCCCACAGCATCACCGATTTACAGTACCTGGGGTGTGTGTATATATATATATATATATATATACATGTGTTTTGATTTAAAAAAGGCTATTTTCCAAACACGGCACCCTAATAAGTAGGTTTTTCTTATAACAATTTGTTGCCTTATAAAGCCTAACATTTTTTATGCCTTACTAAGATGGCAAGATGGGGAGAGGTGGCCTAGTGGTTAGGGCATAGAGCTTGGAATACTCAGGTTCTGAGTTCGAGCCCCACTGCCACTCTAGCTCTCTGCAGAGATACATTTCTCCAATGTGAGATCAATAAAGTTCAATTATTGTTTCCTTGTCTTTCCTATTTGGAAGAGCAGCAAATAGAAATTACACAAGCTCAGTCCTCAATGACTTAAAAATTTACAAAAGCTTAGTTTAATTGCAAATATGGGGGGAAGATGCTTCAGTTATAACATATTTTTAAGAATGTCTTTTTCCAAATTTGTTAAAATGAAGGTTTGGAATTTTTAAAAATGTTCTAAAATGAAATGTACTCCAATTTGATTACCTTTTCTATATCTATACTGGAGGTTCCAACAAATGTCTGTAGGATGATTTTACCGCAAGTATCATGTTAGTTTAAAATAAGTTTATAAAAATAAGAGGGGGGGGGAAAGCTGCTTTTAATGTATTATTTATTTGACATGATGTATGTATATTTTCTGTAAAGTAAAGCATCAATATGTTTTTGTTTAATTTTTACTCTTCTTTATTCTGGCAATGTAAAGGAGTTCCCAGCAGCATTGTTTCCAGGTCATGGTCACTGTATAAAGATTGTCAGCTGTACAGTATTAAATGAGAATTTGCTCTCAGATGAATTCCTGGTCTTCAGACTTGCTTTATTAGTAAAAGTCACTTGGGTTTGAACTGTGATCTCAGATTTGACTGATTATATCTAGTTGTTGGCAAAGTTGTTTCTTGCTGTTTCCTGTTGGATAAAATCTGCCACTGAATCCGCCTGATTGGTTGCTGAGAGGATTTGAGTAGCACCAAATAAAAACCAACAAGGCAAGCAAGCTGGGTGACAATGATTGTTAAAAACTGCTTGTCTGGAGATTGTATAATTGCTGATTGGTTTTCATCTGACAATTAGTCTGTTGTTTCTCTCTAACAGCAACCTGGATGCAGAAATTAGACTCATCAAATAACCGACAAATGCAGGTATATTTTAGAGATTATGGGTTTATTTTGAATTTTTTATTCGTACATGTTTTTTTGTTTTGTTTTGTTTTTTTTTGTCTTTATAGGGATGATAAGACGATAACTTAACTTAACTTTTTGCTTTTCATTTGTATAAATCTTACCAGCTGGACCTTTTCAGTGTTTTTTGTTAGCGACTGTTTCTCTATGGGTCATTCAAAATATCTATTTTCTTCAAAACAATCTCATTAAATGGAGCGTTTGGCTAGAAAACATGACACTATGGAAGTAAAAGAAACATTATTCCAATAAAATATAGATACTCAGCAATGCACTACAACCAGGTTCTGGTAGAGGAACATTCAACGTCAAGATCAAGAATGTTTTCTGCACTTCATTTTATTCTTATAAGGTCAATAAAGGATCATAAAAATGTTACATTCCAGGGTTATATATCATATATTTAAAAATGTTTTCCCATACCTTTTTTTTATGCATTACTTTTTCTTTTTACAAAAATCTTATTTTATTTAATCTCTGCAGTATGACTAGTGAGCCAGCTTGTTAAGGTAACAGTATAAAGTAAATCCACAACAACGACCTTGTTAAGGAGCAAGCTTTTTGCAATGGGTAAGTAAACACTTACTTTATTCAGAAAAAAAAAGGATTTTTTTCAGATCCTTTTTTTTTTTACCTACCATAAAGTTTACAAGCAAGTCTTTTTTTTTTTTTTAGCCAATTCCAGGAATCTTCAAGCATTAATTAGAGACTACATGAGAGATTCATTAGTTTATAGAAAATGGTTGAATGTGTTACTATCATGGTATTAATAAAGGTTTGATGTCCAGGTTAAAATGTATCTGAGAGAGATGCTCCAAACTAAAGGAAAGTCAGCTCTTGCCCCCTTGTGGTAGTAACAGGTTAACACAGGTGAAAAGTTAACCTTGTCTCGGGAGAACATCTATTGATCTCATATTAGGAAATTATTATTATTTTGTTCCAGAACTTCAACTTAATGTTAAACGGAAAGTCATAGAGAGTTTGGGGCTTACATAATTTATTGTAACCCTGAAAATAATCTGTATTTTTGCAACTTTTGGAGCTTCATTTATTACAGTGAGATGTTTGTGTTTTCTTTGTTTAGTTTTTTTTCTGCAGATCTCTATTAACTTACTTTGCTCTATTATGGAAATAATCTTTCACCGTACTTTTCTTATGCACAAATTGTTTGGGGGAAACTGCTTCACTTTAGTTTCCTCCATAGAAAATATTGCATGTCTTTACACTTCAAAAGGGTTTTGTGTAAAAAAAAAAAAAAATTTCCACCAAGATAATTATCCATAAAGTGAAAGTTTTTAGGATTACAAAGGACCAGGATGTACAGGAAGTGTGGGCTACTGATCCCTATTGGCACCACTGCAGAGCTTAAACAACACTGGCAGCATACAGGCTTTGGTGCATCTGCAGACACAACAACAGCGAAGGGGAAAAACCTCATTAATTTATTTGTTGGTCTGTGTGAATTTGTCCGGAGGAGAGATGTTAAAGTCCACTGTCAACATCCTTAGACAGTCATGATGCTTTTGGCTTTTTATCAATCAAGAGGCTGGACTATCGTCCCTTTCTGTTAGAAACTCTCATGAATAACAAAATAGGATGAAAACATCATTCATGAGCCATTTCGGGCGCATTAAGGCTTAACCTGTATTTTCCCGTTTCAGCAGTCTGATACGGCTATAAACTGAAGTCTTTCCCCTCGATCGATATCCATAAATATTTCAGTTGTAGTTTTATCTCTTTGTAAACGGGAACAGAGGGAAGAAAGTCAACATTTCAGTTGTAAATCTAAAATTGTTTTAAATCTAGTAAATTTAAAGATAGATCAACCCTACCATTAACCTTAGTTTGATTGTGAGGGCCTGTGCAAATTCTCAATTATCTGGTCTTGGCAATCACAATACAGGGTTATTCTCATTTGCTCAGATTTTACTGACAGCTGTCCAAGAGACTTAGTCAATTCTGACAACTTGCAGTTGAGTTGGAGCTAAATCCTTTCATTTGCTTCACCTGCTAGAATAAACTGGGTTTATACAAGTTAATGTAGATGATTATGGTTATAGTTAACCCAGAAATGGAAATCAAGCTTGATCCTTTTGCATGGATTTCTACCCAGAATGCTATGAAGAATGTTTAGCCAGCGGCATTGATAAGATGTAGAGGCCAGGTTTGCATTCATAGCGACCTTCAGCTAATCTGTAATTAGCTGTAAATCATCAAAATGAACAGAAGTTAAATATTTAAATATATCCCACTCTGTGTAATGAATCTAAATTAGTATTGTTGCTTCAATCTGGTATTTAAATGGCTCCTTCTCCATTGCAAGAATTTATTTAGAAAAAAGAAAATCAAAGCAGATTAACAAGAACGGGTCTAGGAGTTGAACATCTATTCCCTGTAAGGAGAAGTATCTTCGGAAGGAGAGTATTCTCCAACAATACCTCCTGTGATCTAACAGTTCCTAAAACTATATAAAAACAATAAAAAATTCTGGTTATTGAACAGTCAAATCTGACTTGAAATGAAGCTCTAGCAGAAGTTCAATTGAAGAAACTCTGGCTTACCTCATCCATCAGAAGCTGATCCGTCTCTGACGCGAACCAATCAGCTTCAAACTACTCCACCACGAAGCCCAATCAGCATCCTGCTTTCACTTCATAAGCACCTTCAAATCCCTGTCTCAGCCCGCTATCCAGCAAACGCAATGTCAGATTTTATTCAGACGACAATTCACCCACCTCCACCCCCTCCTCCGCCATAGTTGAGTCGTCTTCCATGACATGACTTCTACCCCAACCTCATCAGAGAGTATTAATCCCAGTTGTCACCATCCCTCGTCTCATTGCAACTGGTCCAGCAGAAGACCACCATGTTGAGCCCGGTTCTGCCAGAGGTTTCTTCCCAAAGGGGAGTTCCACTGTCGCTTCATGCTTGCTCATCATGGACAGTTCATGGTACCTGCATCACCAAGCAGACCTCTACATCCTGAGTCTCTGAGTGAAGCCCCGGTGTCAGCTCCTGTAGTCTCTGGTCCCACAATACAGCTCAAGCAGATCACCTCGTTAACCAGCTCGAGCTAAACCACCACCAGTTTCAGGCCGGGGGGAACATCCCTATTCTCATTCATCTCCTTATGCATGTTAAAGCATGATTCAGCATGAATGTTCCTGCCGAGGTCTGAGCGCCAAAGACTATACTTCTTATCAATAAAATTCTTCTAATTATCTTTTCTCTCTGTGCGAGTTTTTCAGATTGAAATATGTTTATTCTTTTATATTCTGATTATTACAACTCTTATGAACGTGTTTACTATGATTTCTTTTATATTAATATTTGTCAGCTCGACCTTTAAATGACTGCAGTTATATGCACCTCTATAACCATGTGAATATTCTGTAGATGACATTTTTTTGCCATTTTTATCTTTATAACTACGGACAGAAAGGTTTCTTTACTTTTAAAAGCTTTAAAGTTCTAGTGCATTTAATATTTGGTCTTAGCATTGTCTGTTATTTTTGTTATCACCTATTTTGTATGGGTGTGTGGAACCAAATTTTTTCCTTGATCTATTTGTGAGATAAAATGTTTAGTGTGTGCCTGCCTGAATAGGAGTGAGTTCCGAGAAATCTTGTACCAGCCTCTATGCTGTAATGTTTAAGGTAGGAGGGACAGAAAGCAGATGCCTCCCTAATCTAGAAAAAGGTGAAGGCAATGAGAGATAAAGAGTGACTTCACACAGCCTCCTTCATGCCGTGAATTGGAGACCTGTTCTGAGCGTTTATATGGCTAAAATGTATGTCC